AAAAAAAAAAAAAAAAAAAAGCGAGCCCAGGGCAGAGGCTTGAGACAGGCCCTAGATAGAGCCAAGGGATCTCCTGAGGCTGATAGGGGAGAAGGTGTGGTTTCATCATATCTTCTGTTCAGAGACTGAACAGAGACCTGGACATTCTGATCAAGCTAGGGAGTGCCTGCTCTGATCCCTGTCTCCCACAACTTGGGAGCATCTTAAGAGGACATGGAGTACTCACTACAGTGGGATTTGCTCAGTTTCCTCACAGCAGAAAGAAAAAAAAATCCTTATAGCAGGTTAACAATCCAGATCCAGCCATTAACTTCCATTTGGCAGAGTATGTTATCCAGTGCCCGTCAACCACAGAACCACAAGGTCTGAACTCCATTTTCAGGCCTAGATTCTGCCCCCTCTTAAGACAAGGAACTCCTGTAGGCAGTCACACTGAGTGACTTCCCACAGTAAAGCATGCAGAGTGGACAGTGGACAGATGGTGACTTCGGTTAAGCTGGACCCATCAACGGAGTAAGCTGCATTGTTTTTTGAAAGATTTATGCTTGACTTTGTGACTTAAGAATTTGTTTTAGCTTTTAGCTAAGCCACACACTTTTTTTCTTTTTGCAGTACTGGGGATAGCACCCAGGGGTACTTTTTACTTTGGGACAAGGGCTCACTATGTTGCCCAGGCTGGCCTCAAACTTGCAATCCTCCTGCCTCGGCCTCCTATGGAGCTGGGATTACAGTTGTGGGACACTGTACCTGGCTTGACTTGGCTTCTGGTTCAAGCTTCACCCACAAGTTTAGATGGAAGCTAGAACCTGTTCCTTGCTTTGGGCTTGGGAAGTATTTCCCAGGATAAAGGAAGACACAGTGACCTGAATGTAGCCACCTTTCCAACCTCACTGCACAATCTCCACCCACTCAGAAGGCTTCTGATAGGGTTCCTGAAGAGCTGGCCCCTGGGTATTTGCTACAGTGGAAACACTGTTGCAGTTTCTTCTCCATCACTCTGTATCCACCAACCAGTTGGATTCCCAGGCTACTGTCCCAATTCTGTCCTGACCCAAGGCTGAAACAATGGCTCTGGTTAAGCATGCAATGCACACAAGGTGTGGGCTTTCTCCAGAGCCTTGTCCCTCATCCCAACTTAACTGAGTCATCACCACCTTATCCACACGGGCTCCCTCTCTCACCCCTTTGTCCTTTCCTGCTCCTAAAGTTGCTTACATTGCCTTGGTCTTCAGGCTCAGTGCCACGAAAAGTGGGGCAAAGACAGTTCCTCATCAGCTTCCCCCTCCCTCATCCCCTGTGCCACTGTCTGTGAGGATACACGTATGTATCCCAGAGCACTGGTCTGACGGACCCCAAGACTTACAAGTGTGGCAGGAGGCACTGGGGCTGCAGTGCTTCTGGCCAGGATGTGTGCATGAGCATCAAAGGGCAGTTCACTGACCATGCAGGCATCTGGCACCATGAATTGTGGGCTCCACTGATCTGAAGGAGACACAAGAAGCTGGGACAAAAGAGAGGTTCACCCTGAGGCACCAGGGGCTGGGCAGTGGCATTGGTGGGGGAAATCCCCTTAATTTCATGGCTAGGGCTGGGCCTCTTCCCACAAAGAAACTGACCTAGCTGAATGGAGATGAGTCCTAAGGTTGGCCTGGCTTCCCCCTGCATCCTCTGCAGGGCTTCTGCCTCATAGACAACCTCATAGAGGGCAGGAGAGCTGGGTGCCTGCATGGCAGGGGGACTGTCTGAGAGGCCAGGATCCTCAGAGTTGCCACTGTCACTGCCAGGAGATGCTTCTGAACAGTACACCTCATTGGGATCGATGAAAAGCTTCAGGAAATCTTCAGGTTCACTCTCTTGAAGTCCCTATAGTCGGAGAAGGGTATACAAGTATGCCAGGAAGTCCTACCTGACATCAGATTTAGATCCTTCTTACTTCAGTTTCAGTCTTTTCTTGGGGATGGGGATAGTTACAACTAATATGTATTTTGGGTTCACTGTTTTCAGGTCTCTTTCCAAGTGGGTGCTGAAGCCTCTTGGGTCTTCTTAGCCCAGAGCTGTGTCTCAAGCCCAGTTCCTTCCATTCCCATTCATCACACTTACACAGCCTTGGCCCCCACTAGAATCCCAGCCATGTAGCGCCTGTTCTTGTAGCCTAGTCACTGGAACCTCTGGAGGGGAACAGTTGAATCCCAGTTCCAGTAAGGATCCTGTTGAGAAGATATCTTCTGGGGGCTCCAGCAACACGTCTAGCAGGTCAGGGGATCCCAGCTCCATGCTTCTGTAGGAAGGTGTGCAGGAAAGTTACAGAAGGGAGATGCTCCTGTCCCCACCCCCACACCTTCTGGGCTTCTCTGCACCCTCTTCCATATCCCCCTTCCTTACCTGCCGCAGCCCCCACACTGGCCACCGGGAGACTTCGCCTCTGGCCTACGTCTTACGTTCAGAAACCGGGTATTACCTGCTGACCGCCCCAAACACTACACCTTTTCTTTCCTCCAGGATCTCACATCCTGGTCCTGCCCAGCCAAACCCCGCCCCCCGCCAGACACCCGGAAAGCGGGTGGCACCTTGCTCGGAGCCAGGCTGGGGGCGCTGTATCTGGGCACTGGGGGGTGAGAGCCGAACGTGCGCACACGGGGTTGAGGGGAAACAGGTAGCCGCGCCTTGGGTGCCTCGGGGTCTCCCAGCGGCAGCTCTTTCTGAGAGTTTGAGGTCTCCTCGGGGAAGACGGAGACGGCGGTGACGGGAGCACGACATCCTTGAGTGCCTGTTCCCCAGCCATCGCTTTTATTGGAGGGGGACCACCGCAGGATCGCAAAAACA